ATCTTGGGGACTAGGTCAAGCCTGCAGAATGAACTCCCATAAGATCTGTACAAACCTCTGTGTATTTAGTGCCAAGTTCAAAGCACACTCACTCCTTTTGACCTTGCTTTCATTAATGAAAAAATGTGTATGTAAACATATATCAGTATGCAACAACGTAAAAATTGTTCCACATGCTGTTTTTTCCCTAGGGGAAAGAAGATGAGACAGAATAAGCCACACATGATGTATTTGTCACAGCCACTCAAAGCATTTAAAGACTACAGATGTCACGGTGATGAGGGCAGTGTGGTGAGCCTGAGCACAGATCTACAAAGAAAGATGTGAGCAGACAGAAACAATAGTCTGACAATGACAGGAGAAACAAAGAAAAATAAAAGAAAAAGCAGAGGAACTAAAGTACACAAAAGGTTATTATACAAACAAGGAGGGAAAACAGAAAAACAAAACTAGAGGAAAGTTGTTTTGTAGACAGGGAATTTATTTGAGGTGAAAGCAGACTTAATTCTGCCTCTTCTGGAAAGTTGGATAGAGGCTTACCTAAGCAGTAAGCAACAGAAAAGGGAATCAGGGAATCAGGTTACGTGTATAGAGGACATTTGTCATTGTATAAAAGCACACTTTTCACAAAGTAACACAAAAATCGGTTAAATCAAGCTACTGTGGAACACAGTGGTCCCAACTAGAAGTCCCAACTTCTTCATCAACTCTAGGCTACATCAAAAGCATCACTACAATCACTGAGGTTACCACTTCAACACATTGAATTTCACTCCTGTCCTTTTGTGCATTTCAACTGGCATTTTATTGAATGAAAATAACAGGTAAGGTAGTAAAAAAAAAAAATCTAAGAATTGCTAAAAGAATATATAAGAATATGCTAAAATAATTTTTCTTCATCTCATATTAATTGCGGAATTCCTCTGCAGTTTAGCAGTATTTGTCAGAAATGTTGCTTGATGCTCCAAGAAAAAGCATAACCTCCCAGCTAAGGTCAGGAAAACACTCTTCTCCCAAACCATAGAAATACTTCTATATTAAATTATTAGCATGGAGACAGGAACATAATAAAACAATTAACCTTAGGGTAATTAAACTTCTCACTCCTTTTTAGAGAAAATAAATGCCTGTATATATATATACTGGTCACTTACCACATCACCCGAAAAGGACAAATGAGGAGACAAGCTGTTAACGGAAATAAAATCATCCAGGAAATATCTTGCTCAGTTGTACAGCTTCCCCTCTCATCATGAGCAAGAATTTTTGAGTGGCAAATCAGAGTGGCAGCTGGAAGGAATGCTCAATAAAACTTTGTATTCTTAGATGATATATCTTAGTCTATACGAGACTAAACTTTTGACATATAATGCAAGAACAATGCAAAACCAAGCAGCATTTTCCAAACAAACAGATTTTGGTTATCAAGACTCAGAAGCACTGCTGGTTAACAGGCATCTGGCTACAGGGAGGAGTGGATTCTGTCAGGAAAGACACTGGGGTGAGCTAGATCCAACCTAACCTAGTTAGGAAAGTTTGAAATTAATCTCAAAGGGAATGGAGAAAGAACCCCAGAGAGAAGTCAAGGAACAATGGCTGGAGGAGAGCTGGCCTACTATAGGACAAACATGACAATGGATATGGTGTAATGACAAAGCTGCTTGAACACATTGAGTTTTTCTATGGAAGAGGTGATAGAGAAAAATGTATGGGTCATGATTAGAGAGATTATACAAAGAGCAGCATTGTAGTAAATTAAGGGCTACAGACAACTTGATAGAGAAGAAATTAACAAAATCCATCAAAGAATTGCAATATCAAGGTTCCTGCTTCCCATGGAAAATATTGTTCTGGAAAATAAAACCTGCTGGGAGGGCAAGAAGGAAGAATACAATACAGGAGATTTCTGGAATGTCAGGTACAGGTGAAGGAAAAAAGTTGGAGAATCGGATATTCAGTATCAGACTTCGCTGCTGGGACCAAAACACAGTAGTTTCAGATTTTAAGGGAAGGCAAACAGCAAGGTAAAGATGCTGGACTTTATGAGGTTGGACTTTGCCTTTAAGGTAGCCTCCCATGCAATTGTCACCTGTCAGTTTTCTAAAAAGCCAAACTGGCCAAGGTGAGCTGATTGAAGTTAGAATCACACAGTAACTTGGAGACAACTTTCACAAAGCACATGCAAAAGGCAGGTGCAAGAGCAGCATTACTCAGCCATGGTGACACGTTGCCAACTGCTAAGCTCAAAAAAGCAAAAAAGAACATAAAAAATGAAGATGAGGATGAATTTCATACAAACAGATTTTCATTAGGATAGAAGAAGAATATAGAAATCTTGCCTAGAGACGAAGAGTTGGAATTAGGAAGACTATGCTGAAGTCAGAGCTGGAAATGGATATAAAGAATATTAAGAAGGGTTTCTACAGTTAAACCAGCAGCAGAATGTTTTTCACACCCAATCTATTTCTCAGTATTTTATTTTCTGTCTGGCATGATTTTCACAGATCCTTAACAGTTTTTTTTATTTAGTTCTAGAACTCTATTAATGTCTCCCTCAGGGTAAGAAATTAATAAAACTCAGATGCCCTAAACTCTGACTATTATGTCTAAATTGTAATAACAACTAAACTTCAAAATCTAATTCTCTTGGGTACAAAAATACAGTAGTACTTTACCCAATATTCTTTTGTTTCTCCTTATTACAGAGTAATAATTTCATCAGAAATAGATATTCTCCATCTGATTTTCTTTTGGACATCAACAATACAAAAGAACATAGTGAGAATTTCTGGCAACCTATGATTCTGTTTTGATGTGCAGGTATTAACAGTACCTCAGGTCTCAAGAAAAAGTCAAGCCCTTGTCCAGCAGAACTACAGATTCCTTCAAAATGTGTTTTCTTAATTAATAATTCTTGCAACAACTTAGCAATTTTCATCCTGAGAACATTTCTCCTATTATTATGGAGATACCCATGTATGGTTTTGAAAGACAAAATGTTACTTTAAAGCAGACATAGGAAGTGTAGGTATCTCCATGCTTCTGTATAACCTCCTACAAATTTACCTAAGGTTGTTAGGATACTAGATTCAGTAGACTAGAGGAATCTTTCAGATTCTGTTATACAGAAGTATGCGCTCTATGATCTTGAAGCTCTGCCTTCTCAGCATGTGGCTCAAGTGCCAAATTCAGATCTTTACTGTATATGTAAAGACTTAGAATGGGGGAGAAAAGAGACTGATTATATTTCTTCACCCACCAAGCCTACTCAGTTAGAGTAAGAAGAGCCCATAGCTAAGAATTACATAGTTAAAGGACTTAAGGACACATTCCTGTTTTGAGAAACAGAAAATAAAGGTAATTCAAGATACCAGCTGCATGTGCTGGGCGACAATCTACAATGGAATAACATAAATAATTGAGTTTATCATCTTCATGAAAGTTTGTACCACAAAGTTTAGAAACAATCCTCGTCCTCCTCCTATGTCCTTAGTTTTAAAGGAAAAACAAATATAAAAGGCAAGAGCATATCTATTCCTATAGCATTCGGTAACATTGAGGAAAACAACTTGTAAGCTGAACCATTCTTTATTACCAGCTCCTTTAAACAAATGTCTGTTTTGTGGAAAATTTATTTTTTTTTCTTCCTTTGTGCCTATGTGGCTGGAAAAAAAGTATCAGTTACTATTTCTTTTCAACTTCAGCAACTGTCCCACACTGGATACTTTTGCATTGGTAACAATAAACATCTTCTCCTATGTTCTTTTCTTACTGAGTACTCAAGGACAATCTCTTTTTTTTTTTTTTATTTAATCGTTTTAGCAAACTACTTAGAATCTACTGTTTATCCATGCTTAGAATCCAATCACATACAATATTTCAGCAAGACGGAATAATAGATTTAGCTGAAGATCATACTGGTAAGTGGTAAATTACATGGTGTTATTGATATGATTTTGTTTATTAAATGACAACTGGAGTAGAAATAGCTTACGTTTTAACATCTGTCCTTGTTCTTTCAAAATGAGGACATTTTCTTTAAAAAGGCTTCATAGCTTCTTTCATAAAATAAAACTGTCCATCTTTGCTTGTAAGACAAAAGCTAAGATAACAAAAATACATACTTTTTTTTTTTTTTTTTTCCTCTCAAAGGTGCCTAGCAGCAGGCTCAAAAGAAAGCTATTTAAACATGAACAAATTCCTCTAACCAACATATTTTGCTAGTGCCACAAATTTCAGCTCTGGGCTAAGTTTTTAGTTTAGTTTCTAAACAGGATATCAGGATGCAAATGTCTGCATCCTGAGAGTGAATTCTGTGAATACAATCTTGGAATGGCAAAAAAGAGTTTACATTAGCCTGACTTTTGCACCAATTCTAATTCCTACTAAGAAACCTGGGTTTTTACCAAACATGTTACCTCTCATATTTAGTTCAGGTTTATCACTAAACTCCCTTAATCACAGGCGATGAGTAAGAAGCAGAGCTGTGCCATTTCAAAAACAACAAAGAGAGACAGTTATCACAGGAAATGAACAATTTCATCAATGAACAAGGATGAATTTTATAAACATCACATATGAACTAAAATACGTAACAATAAACATCAAGAAAGGGCATGGAAAACTTTTGAACAGCCCTGTTCTTGCTTAAATGGACACTTGACTCATCCTAGGAAGTCCTTTATCAGTACTGCAAGATGACAGAATAGGCTATACACATTATTGCTCAGTTTATAAGCTACTTTGAAGATGGCTAGTGCTACTACCTATAAATGACACTTGATATTGTGCTTCAAGAACACACAATATACTCTTCCAGAAAATTTCAAGTACTTGCCTGTTTACAGCACTGTGCAAGAATAATTATGCATAACTTAGCAGGCTGTTCACAGTGTAAGGCAGATCAGCTCCTTAACAGGCTTAACTCATGTACTGGCTATTTAGAATAGCTTTAATGCTGCACATTAATGAATATGGTTTTAAAAAGAAAAAGTACTAACCCTGTAGAGAGGGTGGCACTTGTCCTTGAAACATGGTGCCAAACGAGCATAGATCTGCAGGCTGTAGTAATAACTTGCCAGCTGGAGAGATAACGCAGAATGCAATTGCTTTTCAAAGCATTTGTTGGCATCTACCACCTAGGAGAAAGAGAGCATTAATTTAGATGAAAGAATTAGCAAGCATACAATGTTAAGTGCACAAACTTTCTAAAAGCTTCTTGCTGTGACTTAGAAATAATTCTGACTATGTTTTTTTGGCACAGAAATAAGTCACTAACTTCCTCTCCCCCCACAAACAAAGATAATTCTGTATTGTGATGTTTTCCTCCCTTTGCACACTTCACCAAAATGAACTCCAAACTAAGTCTTTCTTTCTTCTACACAATAAAGGTATTACCTGCATTTCTTAGCTATGCTGGAATTGTCAGTCAGGCAGTCTAACTTCTATCAAATGTGTTATTTCACCAGTACCACACTCATAAATCAAGCATTTGTTTAGAGCTACCTTTAAACGCATCAGCCCAAACCTTTTTATTTATATTTAATTGATCTCAAAGACAAATTTTAAAGCCCTACAGAAAATACATTTTCTTATGAAATTCTGAAATCCAGAATAAAATTTTCTGGTAAAAGCATATTAAATGTATATATACGTATATATATATATACATATATATATATATGTATATATAAAATCACTATCAACATACCTGTGGCAGTGCAAGCAGATAGGCAAGAGACAAGGCCATATCATTTGGTAAAGCATCGCTTGCCAGTTGTAGCAGAACTGCAACATACACGGAAAAGAAATAAAGGTTTGATTACTGACCCATCCAGCCTTGACAGTTAGCAAATTAAATGTTTTCAGTTTAACTTTATTTTATTAGACACTAGCTTGAAGCACCCTATACATACTTAATTAAACACTAATCAGCGCAATCCAGAAACAGATAATATGTAATTAAACTGCAGAACAGCTTTACCTTGACTTCCAGGCAAAGTGTTCCATGCATTAACCAAACAAGAATGCAACTGTGCAGTAACAGATGCTAAACAAAGCCACTGAAATATCATCTGAAATGATTCAAAACAAGTAGACACATTGCTTGTAAAGTCGAGGCAGTGGTATAATGATGTGAACATTACAAAATACCAACCAGAGGAGTGTCACAAAATGTCTCTTCTTCAAGCCTGAGTTCTAATTCACTTATCACTGAAAGCAAGATTCTATATTGAAAACTTTTATCTTAAAAAAAAAAAATAAAGAGCAACAACTAGCATACATTTTTAAGTAAGATTATTGAAACTAAGCAAGAAGTATAAGCCAGAGAATTCCCAGACACTTTAGAGAGAGAAACAAGCTGATCTGGATCATGCATACTGTAAAATGTCCCTAAGAAATCATCTAAATAAATCACTGACAGGTACACCTAAAATACATTATCCAACTGACAAGTTACAAATAGTGACTTGGTACAGTTAGTTAATCTAAAGTTTGGATAACTATGTCAATGGAAAGGTATCACTAACTAGAATGAGTTCATTTAGTAAATAACACACGGATAATGAAAAAAGAAGCTTCCTTAATTGAATGTTCATGATTATTTTAATAAATTCTAAAGCTAAGCTTAGAAAGAAAGTAGCTGAGGAAAATGAACAGTTATTATGCAGAAAGTTAAGAAACCTGGAAGGATGGGCAAATTCAGGTGATTTTACTGAATTCTATAAATTCAGATTAATCAATTAAAATAAATATAAATAATATAAATTAAATAGTGTATTTCTTATATCTGCTTTTCACTTCTGGCTTTAGGAAAAGAGAAGAAAAATAACAGCAACCTTTTATACAGTGATTCAAATCAGATTAGCTAGCATTTTTCTAGGATATTTACATTTCAATTGAAACTCAACAAAAAGTTAGGGGGGAAAAAAAAGAAAAGCCCACATACACAAAACCATCTCCAAACAATAACTCCCCAGCTCCTGCCACATACTGCAAACAAAAATTTCAGCACAAGAACGTAGTAGAAATGAACACAAAGAATGATTCTAAAAAATATATACTTCCAGTACAACTGACAAAAAAAATATCTGCTTTTCCTAAGTTTATACTAAGGGCTTTTTTAGTTTAAAAATAGAAACCATTATATTTTACTTTACACAAATAGGAGAACCAACATGGCACAGGCACAATGTGACTGCCTGAGATTTGTTGGTTAATAACAGGATCTCTCATTTATATATTTTTCTGTACTAAATTGTCACCATGGTTATTACAGAAGCTTCAACAAACACTTACAAAATAATGGTTCTGATGATACACTCAACATTTAGTTTTAGGGGTACAGAATGCAAATTATTAATTCCAGAAGCAACTTCAAAAATCTTAGGAAACATGGATCAGAAATTGCTTAAGGAATTTTAAATATACAAGGGAAAAAAAATGTTGTTTTCATTTTTTCATGGACTTTTTTTCCCAAGCAGCAGAACCCCTCTTTCCACAGCTTAGCTCTTTGCACATTTTAAGAAAGTCTCAAATGCTTTTATTTCCACATTGCATAAACTACTCTTAAGTGCGTGCTGGCAAGAAGCATTTTTATTTTACACACACAGACCTCCCAGTGAATTCTTTGTTCCAAAGAATAAGTTATAAAAGGCTTGAATGATCACTCACAATTTTCAGATTATCATTAATTTGCCACCAGACTGACTTAGTGGATTTACGTGCTGGCCCTCAGCCACACACAACAAGCAAATTTCTATGTGACAAGGCATCGCAGAGGTCGTCAGGATGGCAGCATTAAAGTTACTGCAAATACAAACCTGTCCATCAGGAACTATGCTTCAAATAGCTTCTACCAATAGTTTCTTGCTGCTGACAGCTTGTTTCTGCTGCATTCAAAATAACCTGGATGCTGTCCAAGCAAAAATAATAGAACTCTAGAAATATCTAATATTAAAATCTTTATGAGTTAGTTTGCAAAACTGGTATTCTGTACTGTGAGCACAAGCTATGCTACTTTAAATGTTCTTACAACCACCCCTAATCAAACAGAAAAAGATGGGAGGAAGAAAAGAACCAGTGCTCTGACCTCTTTTCCGTTTCTCTGGAAAATTCCTGACCACAAAACCACAAGAATAACACAATAAATTCCACATTTTCTTTGAACTTAAAATCCCCAACAAGACAACTGTCCAGCTAACATTTATCTTCACCTTTCAGATAGCAATCATGACCAACAACATAGCACCAATACAAGGCCACAAAATGACTTCATGCACGCTGTTGTATTTGAATGAAGCTCAACCCAAAGGTAACCCAGCTGCAAAAATACTACTTGAGAGTAGGAACTGCTTCCATTGTCATCCCTTCTGAGAAAGGGATTATATATATACTTATATATATATATATATAAATACATAAACACACGTGTTTTCTTTGTGCTTGTGTGCCAGTATGGGTTCATGTATCCTTATATATCCCCCTACTTACACATACGCACATGTAAGAACACAGACTAAAGTCATACAGTTTTATGTCTCCAAGCAAAACCCTGCAGGAATTCAGTGACATACTAATCCACTGAGTTTAAAATCACAGACTATGGATATTAGCAGGATGCCACTCTGTTCCAATGCACATCTTAACAAAACTTATGGGGACAAAGACCTATGCCAATTTTGAAGTTTGCCAAAGTAATTAAACATTACAGTGCTGCAAAATAGGGTGGACAAGAAGTTACAAGCAATGAAACAGTGTTCTATAAGGTGTATTTCCTTAGAAAAAAAATATATAAATATATATGTATTCTGTTTTTATAGTTTTGTTTTGTTTTATTTTTATTTATTTATTTATTTAATATTTCCCATGCACATTTTGACTTTATGCCAGAAGCCTACTTGGATAGAAAACTGGAGAAGAAAATTATTTCTTCGTGAGAGCTAACTTACTGATACCCAGACGTTTTGTTGAAAGATGCTAGTTATCATTGTTCATTTAGCATGTGATAATATCTCACTAAACTTAAAAGTATATGGAAGATCAAAGTCCAAGACTTGTGACCATACCAAATCCTACGTCCACAAAGCAGCAGCAAACTTAATCTTGAGTTTTATCTCACACACTTCCTCTGGGGAACGTGTTCAGCTTTTCTCAAACGCGTGGAGCAATGAACTACTATAATAATAGAATATTTGGCAAAATACACAATGTGTATTTTTTTTAGAAGTTCTTTTCTTTAGAAGTTCTCTTATTGATACGTGCTGACAGACAACCCTTCTTCTAAATAAAATGTATTTCAGAGAACAAGTTCATTTCATCTTTCCTATGCCTCTTCTGAAACAGCTTTTTCCTTCACTCCCCTTGACACAAATTCCTGTATAGACCTTTGGAGATAGAACTGATGTTTAATAGTCCAGTTTCCGGTAGGAAGGTAGAAGTTCAAAAACTAAACTTGGAATCTAAAATTTCTTTTCTTCTTCAAGTCCCCAAATCTGAAATTTTGATCTCAAAGGCACCCACTGAATTGTAACCAAGCAGTTCCAGTTAGAGCAGAAAGCATCACCAAGGATTTCCCAATTAACATCATTTGCTGTAAGAAAGTAGTGAATGTGTTTACTCTTTGCCTCTCCCTCCTCTTTAAGACACAGGCATCACAAGCTCTCAGAATGTAAGATAAGAGATCACCTGTACAGACTTAACATTATTTTTGCATTGACAAAGTTTGAAAAGTACAAAATATAAATAAATGCATCCTCATTTAAACTTGCTGATGCTGACCTTCTCTAATACATATTTTATTAAAAGGGTACCAGTTATCTGTAGAAACATCACACATCTAAAAATAGAGAATTGTATACCTGTAAAACAGATATGCTGTTTTACACTAAACAGCTGAAATAAAATGATATGGATTATACAGCAAGCTTCACTTGAAACTTTGCAAGTGATTTAATATATTCATTTTTCATGGCAGAACTTCCCATAGAGTAAAATATAACACAGACCTCTTCAAAAGACAGTAACAGCATGTAAATATTTAAATACTTCATTTCTTACACCAGCAGGAGACAGCAAAAAGAAAAAAAATGTAGGTTTTTTTGTTTTGCTTCTAAAAAGTAAAACTGTTTCAGTTAACAAATTACCAAGTATAATCTATTAAATCTAGAAATTTTGAAAGAAAAAGTTCTGCTGATTCTAGAAACTGAAGGTGAGCTGTTATGTATCAAAATACTCTAATGATCCTGTAATACTAACTCCTGTATAAATGGCACAGGATCTAAACAAATAACAAATGGATATTAACACTGAGTCACAAATTTCCTTTTAATTATGTTATTTTATAGTATACAGGAAGCCTTCAATATTTTTTCTCTTTACAACGTGCATGTCAGCCCTCAAATAACAATTTCTACTTATTTAAAGCCGACTTTCAGATTTTAGATTTTTATTCCCTACTGAGCAACTCCTTTTAGAAATACTTTTCTTGAAAACTGCAACTACTTCTATCAAGACTACTTACCAAAATAGGAGTAAAGTATTACGTACTCTTCTCCACTTTTAAACCTAACTATAGCTTCTCCTAGAGTTTCTATACTAAATACAGGAGTGAATACACATATATCCATACCTTCTGTAGTTGGGAGTAGATTTTTTCCTTCACTCTTGGTCTCTGTCAGTTTCTCTGTTCTCAACAATACTTCTGCAAAGCTTTCCAAAGAATTGTTCTGGTATGTGCCATAGTTGCTTTCAGACTAGAAGGAAAATAAGATAACTGATGCATGAGCACTACAGTCTACAGTTATGTTTAGTTCACTTACATCAGATACAGTTATAAACCTCTGTTCCTGCATTTGCTTTAATTTCTGTTTAATTATTTTTTTCCTACTATTGCACAAAATTTCAAATCCTTGCAAGTCAAACACACAATATAAAATCCATATTGTTACTTAACTAGAAGATCTCAACAGAGAGAAAAAAAAAAAAAAAAATTCAAAATCCTGTCATAGAAACTTACTTCTGCAACATATGGATCAGCAATTAAAGATTCATAAAATGGATGACAGCCTTGCTTTTCCACAGTGACATTTTCTCCAGGCCCACTTTTTAACACATCTCCAAATTCTTGGCCCTGGGAAAAACAAGTACAGGTGTGTCGTAACAACAAAAAAAAAAGTTCATTACAAAGTTTTTAACTGCAATTCAGAAGGGTAGCACCTGTAAATGGAAAGATCCCTGAATTCAACTGGGATCAAGGTTAAGAGTCGTCCTAAATAAAGCGATGTTATATCAAGTTCAGTATTAAGATGGAGAGAGAGAATAACACTCAAAAGCAGTATTGGAGCTTTGAATATAAATAGACAGTATGCAAAGAGTTGACTTCACTGTGCTTTATTCCCCAAAGTTCTGAAGTTCTGTGAAGTTTAAGCTATGCTTTCACACTATGCGAGAAAAAAATAATAAATAAAAGTCAGATTAGGAAACAGAAGCAGGAAACACCTTTAGATGGATTCTTTCACCGTGATTTGCTTGAAAACTGTCCCTTGTCATCTCTAGTTAACTTATCAATTTGAGCTCTTCAGTTGTCAGGTGTATCTATAACATTGCAGTGAATGTGTAAGCATCTTGAGACTTATGAGCAATCCCTTACATGTAATGGTCGAAGATAAGTTAGTGATCTTTTCCACCACTGTCCATCACTGACAGCATGCAGCATGGCTTTTGTAGTCATAGTTGTGTTAGATAACACCTTCATGGTTTTTGTTGTCGTCCAGTACAACAAATCGGCAGACTGGCTAGAGGAGACCGTAGTTTCATCCTGTGAGCATATCCAACACACAATGGCAAGCATTAGACTCATGCTTTAATTAGATTAAGACCTAAAAGCCAAAACACATTAGTTTACACACACTATGTTAATAATTTATTTTAACATTCATTAATTTAGGCAACAGATGTAAAAAAAAAAAAAAAGTAAATTTAAAAGTGATTTAAGTCTCAATCTGCAGTGAGTAGTGTGATCAATAGAACATTGTGTCCTTTGTATAACCTCACGTGTCCACAGATATCAGCTGTGTATAATTCCAAAGTTTATAATGGTAATATTTTACATAACTGTTGAGTACTGCTATTAAAATAACAAACCTATCTATAATACATGAGGAGAAGGAGCATGCTAAAATGCATCATCACTAATTCAAGAATGCTGATAGAAGATATAATCTTGCATTAACAGAGGTAGCATTTATTGAGATGAGTTCTCAGTATAATATGCTTTCATCACACAACCCTCACAAACCTCACTTACAACAGCAAACAGAGCTCCCCATGCTGAAGTCAAAGTAGCATTCTCACAAGACAAACAAAGGTGGATAACGTAGACACATTCTACCCCTTGTCCCTTCACATCACAACAACAAAAAATCCTGACAGTTCCGTGGGGATAAAAAAAAAAAAAGAGATGTAAACGCTCATCTCCAGACCAAGTGAGAAAGAAGATTTGAAATTCTGCAGTTAGCACTTTCAAGGTACAAATCTAGCAAACCTAACAAACTGTAAAAAAGAATCCAAGATCCTAACCTCGTCTATTCTCAAGCTTGAGCTGCTTCTGCAACATATGCATGTTGTCCTGCAAAATGTGTTCACTCAGCCTCAGCAGACTCACATTAAAATCAGTTAGAGGACGTTCTGCAAATGGAGGTTTCTGCATCAGCTCTTCCTCTTGTAAAGCATTTAATTAATACTCAAAATATCCATTTTGGTCAATCTGTGCTAACTATTCCAGCCATGAAAGGTTCATGTCCATGGTATGCTTTACAAAACTTGCACATTAGAACAGAACCATATCCTTGGCATGCTAATGTAAATACTGCCTTCAGCAACATAAAATATAAATATTCCCATCCATGCAATAAATTTCAACAGCTTTAACTCCAATGCTTCTTCATAACAGTTCAATTATTCATTTCCCCATACACCAAAGTTTACAGAAGTAGGAGAATTCTACCTGCATAACTAATAAGTGAATGGGAGGTATTAATTCACAGCTTACTAACTTGTGACAAAATTTCAGACATCAAAGCAAAAGGATACCAAGTTATGCTCAAGTGAGCGATGCCCCACAGGAACTTAATTGACAAAACATCTGTTAGCTTCAAGGTAAAATTTCACTGCAGACAACCTTATTTTTAGTACCCGTAATTGTATTATTCACTGCCTTAACCTGATCATTAAAGTAGCAGGCCCATTTTACGTCTTTCTTTCCTTTAAGACTTCAGCATTTTATTTATTTTTTCAATCTTCTCTAAAATTTATATTCTGAATTTCACAGGAACACCACTAACGAACTAGTCAACTAGATTCCAAATTTCAGCTCTTCACTAAATGAACAAAGAACATGCTAAGCGTAATACACCAAAATTTTTACTCCTCTGAAGAATAAACAGCAATACAACAGCCTAGGTCTGATAGCTTTTTTTGAGCAGTGGGGAGGGGAAAACAATAATTCTTGTTAATCAGCATTGTGTTTTTTTGTTTTGTTGGTTGGTTTGATTGTTTTTAATGAATCTCTTTTGTTACTTGTACTAAAGGTTTTCGTTACATATTCTAAATGGTATATAGAGAACACAAGTTTCACTGGTTGCTTCAGGGCTCTGATTCTGAGGATTAATTGAATTAACAAACAAACAACAAAAATCAGAATTTTTCCCCTCCAAATTTTCAACTGCATTTGAGAAAAACATTTTTAAAAATAAAACTCCTTCAGTAGACTGTGTGCTAGTATAGTTCAACCATTATCAGAAAAACTCTGGTAGTGATTTATTGATTTCCCTAAACGGAACTTTAACCATCATTACAGTATTTTCTGCACAAGTAAGAATTTTGTCATCTGAAGAGCTGCTGTGTACCTAGAACGGCAACACTTACCATAACTTCATGCTATCCTGAATAAACCTCTGATAAACGAATTGATTTCTTAAAGATTATTGAAGATCCCATTTAATAGGATAACTTTAATCATGTCCTTTAATTATGACTTCAGTAAGGTAGTATAGCTTGGGGATTTTGAGGGAAATTATTTTCATATAGCAGCTAAAAACTTGTACGAATCTAACTTTATATAAAAAAGACTCAGCCAACAAATTATAAATTATCAAGATAACCTAAAATAACAGCTAAATACTAAAATATAATTCTAAACAGTCTAACCCAAGGACAAAAAGCAAAGTGAACTGTGTTGTTTTTTTTTGTTGTTGTTGTTGTTTAAATAAGCCATAGAATAGGATAAATTAAAACACCTGCAACATAGCTTTTGCTTGTTTTGTTTTGTTTTTAATGACAGTTAGCCAGGGTACAAGGGTCAAAACATGCAGAAACCATACTTCTAATACACCTTATGAGTTAATAGTCTTGTGAAGTATCAGAGTCATAGAACTGTTCAAGTTAAGAAGATCTAGTCCAACCTTTACCCCTAGGACTGAAGTCCACTACTAAACCATGCTACCAAGTTCTACATCTGCACATTTCTTGAAGACCTCCAGGGATGGGGACTCTTCCCTGGGCAGCCTGTTCCAATGCCGCACAACCCTTTCAGTAAAAAAAAGTCTCCTAATAGCCAACTTAAACCTCCCTGGTGCAACTTGAGGCTATTTCCCTTCATATTATCACTTGGTGCTTCAGAAAAGTGCCCAATCCCCACCTCACTAAAAGGAAATAAATGCAAACACTAACATCTGTTATTTTTAAAGAAAACCTGCAAAGGTTGACTACATAGAAGGTTACCTAAAACTTTTGTAATTTCACAAAGCGAGGTGGAACAGACTCTACTTATTAGACAAAACATCAAGTCTTAACTTTCCTTTTCTTTTTTTGCTTTTTGGTACTCCCACCAGAAAGCAGGTATTTAAGTATTTTTACATATGCATCCATGTATACTGTACATTCCTGTTTTGTGTCTTGAAAGGTGTGGTTTTTATGTTTGTTTGTTTTTTTTGTTTGTTTGTTTGTTTTCCATTTTTGTACAACACCTCTATCATGAACCTGTCTACATCAAAATTCCTGTCCAGTTCAGATAAATTAAAACAGATGAGAAACTACAGAAAGGATTCAGCTCAAGATTATAACCTTCAGGTGTCACTGGATGTCTAAGGTCTCAGTAAGTCTATTACTGTCATTGCAAACTAGAAAGTAATTCAGCCTTAAGCAGAGACAATGGATTACATTCAGCTACTTAAACACAGGCTTTGATGACTGTGCGCGATACATGGCAGTAATTAAGATATCTGTCTAACACTCATAGATCTGACAAGAGGACCTAGACTTTTTGGGTCAGTAGCTAAAGGACAGGAAAGATGCCTTAGGACATCTCAAATTGTTGGTATCTGTAATTAAGTAAGTGAATCAAGCACCTAATGGCTGGTTAGTTGCATTATTCTCTGTGCCTCATTTATTAAATTGCCAGCAGCAGTTTACACAGTACAAGCATGGAGTTCCACCTTGAGATCTTCTCTTCCTCGGCACAAGAGTTCAGTGACACTAAATGAACTTACTGAATAAAATACCATCAAGAATTACAGCTACCTCTTTCTATGAGCATTCTAATTTATTTGTTACACAATTAAAACCAGTATATTTACTAAGCCACAAAACAGCTCCAGTTAATCTCATACATATAAATGTGTGTATGTATAAAGATTTATGTATCACAGCTATTTGAAACTGCAGCTATTTTTGCCCTGAAGTTCCACAGATTCCAGGTGGAACATTTCCCTGAATACACTACAGAAGTAAAACATTCCCTAACCATTGCTAATCAGCAATGATAAGGATGCATGACACACAAATTTCACATATGCGAGTAATTAAATAAGATTCCAGATCCAGAGCATGGGTCCAAAAAGAAAACAAGATGCTAATTCTCAGTTAGTAGGAACTTTTTTTTTTTTTAAGCAACATTTAAGAAAAAAGTCCTATAATTTCTAGAGAAAAGTATCTTCAAATAATTTCTGTTCTCTTATCAGAAGTTCCTTTCCAAGGAAATATGAAACCATTAATTTATCTTGTGCTACTGTGACAGTATACAGTAATTAAATTTTCACATTCAGATATGTAAAAGATAATGATTTTATTTATAATGGACATAACACATGTTTTAAGTATTAAGAAGATCAAGCACAAAGTCAGAGCTCATTTAGAAGGCAAGATTTACAGTGGTTATTGTCTTTACTGCTTATATACAACACAGCATCTCACAACTAAGAATTATATTTTAATAATGTTAGCAATAATATTTTGAAATGCTTTTAATGAGTCAAGACCTTATTTTTTCTCACTGAGATAGTTTGAGCAGCAGATGAATTGTTGAGGCACTTGCAGCACACTACAAAGAGAACAAATGGTAAGCATGAAGGAAATTTAATAAGCAGAATATTCTACTACGTTGGAGTTATTGTAGCTTCAAAAGGATAACTTCTCCAATGGTTCCACTGAGTTCCATCACAAGTGACAAGCCAGGTGCTTTGGTCATGAAGTACATGTGTAAACACATTACTTCCTACAGAATAATTATGTGCATCTTTATTGTAGCAGTCAGGAATTTTCTACAAAGACTTACTTAAATCAATATGACAGGTATGTTAGGTAACACATTTGCACGTAACTTGTGAAGATACGTAGCCAGCTGCTTATCGAGATTCCTACAAGTTTCATGGGGAAAAAAATGTTTGGGAAAAAAAAAAAAAGAGCCTTAATACAACAAAGATAAATGAGTTTTGACATTAATAGAGAGTTCTTCCTCTACATCCAAAAAAAAAAAAAAAAGAAGAATTGAAAAGTATAACCAGCAGCTGATGTGGGCTGGTATCACAGGAAAATGGCAGTGGCAACTAACAATCAATATGAAAAGAGGTAGAAAAAAGATCTCTAAAGATATAATAAGAAAGGTTGAAGGTTGATTCATTAACAGATAGGTATTTTCAAAGTAACAGAGAAAGAGATGCCCAAAAACATATACCTTAATTAACCTTAGTTAAAAGGAAAATTATGTTTTGAGCACTAAATTGAAAAGTTATCAGTAAGTGAGGAAGGAGAACATTTGTGAAGTCCTTGAGAAAAGAATGTTTTAAGTCAAAACACAAGTAAAGAAAGGAGTAAAAAGAAAGGGCAAAAAGATATTATAGTTTGAAATTCTGTGCAAGACAATGAAGATAAGAAGCAGGAAGAACACCTTGACGTGCAACTACAGTGATTGCAGTTATGGGATTCATTTATGTCAGAGAGTTTTTGAACATAATGCACTTCTAATATTTCACATGTCTGTAAAAAAGGTAAGTTTACACAATTTCAAAATATTATTGGATATGTTTCCTCTTGTGTCATTGCAAAATACTGTAAGAAATGAAAGAAGCTATAATTCCCACATAAATCAACTGGGAGAAGACATTAAGTTAAAATTAGCAAATACACAGAACCCATTTCATAGCGTAACATTTTGACTAGAAAACAAAGCTGTGTTACGAAAACAATGAAAACCCTCAATGCTGCACCATAGATGTTTGCCCAGTCTACTGTGTGCAGACTTCCAACTGTAGACAACTAACCACAACAAAGGGGAAAAAAACAAAAGAATCTATACTGGATGAAATAAGAGTGAATAATTTTCTAAATGCAAATTCCTCACTCTAGTTAAAATTGCTTCAGATATCTAAATTGAACTGATAATGAAGCTAATTAGTGAGTTTACTCAAGACTGATAAACCCTTAAGTGTATTTCTGAATTCATTTACATGCACATGCAATTGTTCTGTCACAACAAAACATTTGATAGTACTAGAGCATATTAAAGATGATGTGACAAATTTGTCATGTGTTACAATTTGTTGAAATATGCATCCATGCCCTAATCAAAAGGCTCCACAATGTTATTAACGTTTATTTGACAATCTTGCTCTCAGATGAATTTATTTACCAATTCCCAGAATATAAAATGTGTTCATGCTAATAAACAGACCTCTTCTTCATGGCAATGATTCTAGATACATAAGGTAAAAGTTTACCTCACTTACTCTGAATGCTGTTTTCAGTGCTGTTTCACTCTCCTGCCCATTTTGTTACTTTTATATATGTATATGTATGTACATTTATATGAAATATGCATGTATGTATACACAAAAATATGCATACACAAAATACATACATATACAGAATTTGTGTTCCCATTCCAATAACATGGCAGGGACTAATTTATTATTTAGCTACATGGTGTTAAATATACCAAATGCAAAGACTAACATGTTCCATCTACAGCTATTATTGGTAAAAACTCCTTTAATGGAATAATGACAAGAAATCGGCTGCAATTTAAATATTCTGCTCAAAACACCAAGCTATACAACACGTACCACCTCTTTCTTCCTACTGTACTCTTCTTCCTACTTTCAGGTTAACATTTCTCCTCTACCACCCTGAGATTTGTTTATCATCTACAGGAAGACTTGAACAGAAAAGATGGAAGGGAAAAATAAAAGGTCTAAACTACTTTAAAAATCTACTTTTTCAAAAGAAATTTTTAAATTAAACTTGTAATTTCCCACTCTCTGTAGAGGCTGAAAGAGCCTTTCATTTCTTTCAGAAATAGTAAATAGCATCATCTTTGAAGAGAAAAATGAAATTCCAATCGTACATGTACAAAATCAGATTTGTTAAAACTATAAACATGAAAATTAAACAGAATAGTAGACCTTTTCCTTCCCCATGCCTCTATTCTCCACAAAGCTTTAAGAGTTGATGTACCTTCTAATCTTGCAAATTATAATTATTTCACATGCAATATCTGAAAGTCAAAAAATGGTGAAAACACCACATACCTCATGATGCACAGTAAAAAAGAAAAAAAGTTTAACTCAAGATGTTTTCGAATTAAATGCATAACCCAGGTTTATTTGCAAATGTTTTGCTTCCCCCTCCCACCCACTCCCCATGGTGCTGCTAAGATTGCCTACAAAGAATCAACAAAAAATCAGAACAGACTATGCAAAAATATACAAGCAAAGGTAAACCTAATGTAATCTAAGACTGAAAATTAGTAGCCTTTAATTAGAAGCCTTTAATGGTGCGTATTTTTGTAGTAAACAGGTAGATGATGCTCACACTCAGATTCAGCTCTTCAACGTAATACAAAACACAATTGTTATTACTTTAAAAACTCTTTAAAGCTCACCTCTGCATCCTTACTGATCAGCGAAGAGGGTATGGAACTATTTACATTCTCATCTCCTTCTGAAGGAAGCAACTGGTGATTCACAGCTTGATAAAGAATCTACAGAGACAGAATAAATATAATCCCTTACCAGACAAATACTTATTAAGAACTATAATTCCAATGTCATAGGAAAGTCAAGAAATTCTGATGCAAAAATTTCCATGACAGAAAAAAAGAAGTGAGAGGATAGAGGAGGCAGGGAGAAGAAGAAAACAATTGTTTAACATCCTCTCACTCTTGTAGTCCTTAGGCAAAATGACCTTCCCTTCTCTTTGTTTTCTGTGAAACATTTTTTCCATACAACGTAAGAATTGTATTTTTTTGATTGTTATAGTTGTTTTATTTGTTTATTTTATACTACCTGTAAGTTTCTGTACCACGTCAGCTAAGAACTTCCATGAAAAATACTCATTATTGGAACTGTGCCTCTAAGGTGATGGGCAAGCGGAGAGACAAACGTCACATGAACAGAATTTCCGCAGGCCATAGACTAATGAAGTAACAAAACAGTTCCAGTCTTTCAGCATCAACTGTTCACCATGAACTTCTGATAAAGATTTTTTGCATGTATCTACCTACATACATGGAATGGTTTGGATTGGAAGGGACCTGAAAGATCATCTTATTTCAACCCCCCCGCCATGAGCAGGGACACCTCCCACTGAATCAGGTTGCTCACTAAGACACACACATTGGACAGAACACAAGGCCATTTATGATGAGTGCTGAAAAAAATATGCTTAGTTTTTACTTGGGTTTGGCTTCCTTGGGCAAGTATCAAATAAATTATCACTGAATGTTTGTAACAAATCATATTGTACTAACAAAGAACCCTCAGCAACCAATTCAGTATCAAGCTTTGTGAATAAAGAAGGTAAAATGTTTTTCCTTGGAAAAGTAGGATGCAAGAGGGTAATAACCAGTGGATGAGCAGCTATAATGCATTACAACTAAGAGGAAAAGAAGCCTTTAGAAGGAACAAGACAGCAATACAGGGGCAATGAATTGAGTGAAGTTTAACACATTTTTACTTATACAGCACCAGAAGTTTATGTAACTTCAAATTCTAATTCTGCGTATAGGTACATAAGAGAGGGAAACAAACTTATTTGTATATTGTACAGGTATCAACTCTGGAAAGAGTCCACCTGTGTTTAAACTAGTAATTATACCTACCTGCTTCAAACTGGAGTGCTTTCATGATGAAAAAAATAAATAGTAAAACATAAGTAAATAAAAAGTAAATAGTTCATAGGAGCTAGACGTCATTTCAAACTGTTTGTAGCATTTAATTCTGACATTATCATGTTACTGAGGCTCTAAAAACTGCCTTTATGTTTCCCATATTTCTCATGTGCTCTGCTACACCAGAAATTTTGTAAAGAAAAAGGATATGCACTTGGAGTTGCCTTTATTAGACTGCGTAAGTACTGTATCTATCACTACCCTCTCCTCCATGTCTTGAGACACAGAACATGAGCCCTCTAAGATTTTTATATTGTACAGAGAAAGCTGTCTAAGAGTTCACAGTGATTTAAGAAAAATTCGGACTTAGACACAGCATTTAGGCCAAACCACAACTAAACTGAAATTTAACTTTCTGATAACCTAAATTACTGCACTGCAGTTTCAAAATAAGACCTTTAAATAGGTTTGCTATGTCACCTTGCCATAACTTGCATTTAAATGTCACAGTAATCATTCTCATGGGCATAATATGATCTGATGAACATTTAAGAGCTGATTCTGCTAAGAGTCAGTCATTGCAAGGTTAATAAAGATGGCCCAGATAAAAACGGTGTTATATTTGACAGAATCATCAAACGGCTGAAATCAGTGAGAAAAGAATTTCATCACATATTTGGTAATGATCATAAAAAAATAAGAATAGATGTTTAATGAACTTTTAATTGGACATTTAATTAAGTTAGATTACACAGAATAAGCAGGTGACAGAACCTGAAGAACTTCAGAAAAAGATTTAAATCCATTTGCAAATAGAATGTTTAACAAGGCAATAAATTAAGACATTAAAAGTACTGAAGATAGATATAATTGCACTTCTACTTGAGCAGCCATCATATGAAAATGGTTTAAAAAGACCTGGTGCTGAAATAGAACAGCAAAAGTAGAATAATGAGTAGTCAAATTATAAACTTGCTGGGGCTGGCAGGCAGACAAATTTAAGGAAACAAAAATTAAAAATTCCCCTTTAAAGCCTTGGTAAGCACTGAACTGCATGAAAGAAGTTTCAGAAATACCTACCTGGGTTTGCAATGAGCTGCTAACTCCTAGCAATGCCTCTATGGCATTTGGGGGACAGTGTGTCAGAGCAAAAGCCATGAGTTCCTGACGCATATGCAAGTCATGGAAGCCTTCTGACTGCCCAAGCTGACTGCATACTTCCCAGCTTTTAGAATAACCTACAAGAGAACACAAAACTTACTTCTCAGTTAAGCAAGCCTCACAAGTGTCAGGAGGAACCCACATAATTCTCACTGGATGAGACAAGAGAACAGCATGTGGTATTCCTGCCAACACAGCCCCTGAGAAAGGGGCCATAAAAGCTCCAGAAAAGAGATATAACTCAACTTTAGACTGAAATATCTAGAAGATTCATGGCCACCATATTGTAGATATCACTATAATAGGAATCTGTAAGCCTACATGCTAAATTTTTACATATTACCATAAGAAAATCAGAATGTACTTCAGTGCATAATATTAAATATATTACAGGAGTGGCTTTAATATACATACGATTACTTGATACATTAAGAGAACCTCAATTATTCTGTTTCCACACACACTCTCAGTATAAGGCAGAAAAAAGATTCCAGAGAAGCAAAACCCATGCTACTTAGCATCTTGACATAAAAGTATCATTTAATTTTATTCATAACCTCACACATAAGACTTACGTAAATAGCACAAATATTTTAAGAGCTTTGATAGAAGTCTATCTAAAAGACCTGCACATTAGCCTACTTCAAATACTTTAACAAAGATTCATTGGAGTGCAAGTTTTGGTGACTCCAGACAACCTCCAGGAAATTGCACGCCCCTGTGGCAGCAACGAGCCATTTGGACGCCTGCCCTACCAACTTTCAGTCGTACTGTCTGGATCTACCACAGTGACCACAGGTAACAGGCAATCAGGGTTCTGTGATATTTCATAAGAAACCTTAGTCAGAACTTACTACTACAGCCAATAATACTATAAGCCTATTTTGGACGGAACACTAAGAGCCATACCCAGCTGCCTAACAAACTTTTATTTCTTGTCATTACTTCAAGAGATCAACAAGTGGGATAGTAACTGTACAATAAGATTTTATAGTATGTGAATGAACTTTTGCAAGCTGAAACACAACTTGAGGATATTGAAATACATTTCCATACAGAAGTTTACAGAGAGGCATGACTGTGTATAAACAATACTGAATGCATACATACATGTTTAATTTCAATGTTGTTTCACATGATCATTAACAAAAAAATAATACCGTAACATAGCAAGTAAGGGATTTAAACAACATGACAAATTATAACTTTTCCCTTATAATTTATATTAAAAAAAAAATATCAACTTTATATGTAAAACTTATAAATTATAACTCTGTTTTCTTATAAGAAAAAAAGCCTTGAAAAGACAATTAAAAATGGAATCCCTGATGGGATATATTTTTGAGCTTCTGGCACAAAAAAATGAGGGCTTATCTGAATCGCATTATGTGATACCGGTTGAGAGATCTCAGTGAATCAAATTTTAAGAGACAGTGCTGCTCCAGAAGACACTGTGGCTAATTTTGTAAGTCCATGACATACATGGGAGTTACCGTATTTCATACCACATGCCTTCTACAGCTGACATACTGCTGACTTGCACAATGAAGTCGATTTTTGAATGAAAAGGACCAGTTTGAAGTAACATACTTCAGAGTGAGCTGAGCATCAGAACTCAGATTTCCAACCACCATCACCCCATGTAGCCCCCATTTATTTACTTCACCTGCAGTCATGAGCTCTTGGCAATGCATACTAGCTGCTTTGTAGTCCTGGAAACTGAGAGCTTGTTCCACTAAAAGGATTAAAACTTGACCTTTTCTCTCCATCTGGTCATCTCCTGTATGAAAAATTGAACATTTTTATTAGTTGGAAGAAATAATCAACATAAGCTTCCTACTTTATTTCTTAAGGAAATTATATGCCACAACATGAAAACATCATCTTCTGGAAATAAAATTATCATTTTATTCTTCCTAAAAATGAGGCAACAGATAAATATAAATAAAAAAAAAAAGTGGCATTATAGCTGGCTAAAGAAATTACATGACATGTTAAGTCTAGGTTAAAAAAGAGTTTAGAAGAAAAGCATATGCAGTTTTATTTATGTGACAGCCAACAGATTAAACACATTAAAACTGATATTAAAGACGAAGGATGTATAGAACCAAATACTGACTTTTTTGTGTGTGGATTGCAATAAAAAAAGAATTTTGATATTTATAATTATACTGTTACAGTAAGCAATTTAAGCTGCCACTTCATGTGGACAAAGATTCCTAAGATGTGAAAGACATTAGCATTTAAAATCCCTTCCCTGCTAAATTTAGAAAGTAGAACTGAAACTACTTTCTCACATCATACATGGATCACCAGATCCCCTGGACAACGTCTACTCCCCAAAGGATGAGTTAAAAGTAACACATCAGATACTAGTGATGTCTTCTGACTGAAGTTTCAGTAACAACCTCTGTGGACAAATGTCTTGACCTTAATTTTAAGAAATCAGCATTCGCAAATGAAAATCTAATCAGACAACTCATCTCCTTTTCACAGTCAGTTACAATCAATACAAATAACATTTATTCCTGTCACCCTTTATCAGCTATCTATATTTATTGTTTTTTAAAAGCTTTTTCCAATTTAGAATGAACACGAGAAATTAGGAATTATTTACTGAAACCAGTTGGTCCAGGCTCATGCTAAAACAGCATCCACATATCCATGTACTATAAGAACAGGTGACACAGGAATAATTCCATACTACTGATTTTAGTTTAGGAAGGAGGGATGGCAAGAAACTAATAAAAGTGAGTGGGTTTTTCAATGCAAACTTCTTGCTCATGTTTCTCTCCTATTATTAGAAGTGATTTTATGGAGTCACTGCTGACAGTCATTTGAAAAGGGCACTGGTTTATGAAACTGTATTTCTACAACTTATGAAATGCAAATATTTCAGAAGGTTAAACAGAGCCAGTTTCAAAAAACACTTAAAGAGTACATATTCTTAAATTACATAGTTGTTATTTTTATTTTGGAGGATCGTCAACGCAGGCAAAACAAATTCGTTTTTAAAGCCTTCTTGAAATGCAAGATGTAGCAGTTGTGCTAGAATGACATTCAAGGAAGTGAAGTTACTCTAATTATTTAGCTCAATTAAGATTCCCCTAATCCCAGCACATCACGACTAACTCAGCATAACTGGGAGAGCACTTTGGCTTCCCATCATTCCCATCTCTTGGCCTCTCGCCCTATATACTGCCAACACATGGTGTTGCAAATTAATCACATCCAAGGCTCCTGTGCTGCAAATTTTGCCCTCTGGAACTCAGGAACTTCTTATCCAGGCAAAAGCAATTACAGATGACAAAGAGGTGTTTCTGTCTACAAAAGCTAGATGTGAACTGTCATTTTGTAAGCAAAAGATTTGTAGTTGCCACTCACCTTCTGATGCCCACCACTTCACCCTGACAGCATTACTACTTATGGAGAGATTTGTCTAAGTAGCAGACAAAAGTAAAAGGCAATAGAAATAATGAAACTATGGTTAGTCAGATTTCTGCTAAACAAAATAATCACTGCTATTTATTATTACTTAAAAAGCTGTGGGATTGGAGGAAAGAGTGAAGGAACACTTGGAGCAAGGAACTGCTTTCTTCTTAACTGTGCTTGAGCAGTCACACACTGCCAAGTCCCGTCCCGTCTCCCCCATTTTAGCTAATTAATTTTGATGCAGCAGATACATCTCTGCGTGTTTTTACAAAAGCACAAGCATAAAACATAAGGATTGTTTTCCTGCCAGTCCATGGCTATACTTTTTCATCTCATCTCCATTTTTCTCTCATTTAAAGTTCCATTATCTTGATGCACACTGTTATGCTGGAGATTAACTGTCAGCTCTGCCACGACTACTGAATACCCCGCAACGCACAGCTCGAACCCTCTTTCATGTGGCTTTCACTGCCTCAACAGTGCAGTCACTTAAAATACAACCCACTGCAGATCAACAGCATGTTCTCAGTCATCTATTCAGACTTGAAAAAATTCACTGGTGCAGCTTCATGACTCCTCATTTCAAGAGATTTTTAATAATAAAGCCTTATAAAAGTGAAAGGTTTTGGATCTAAATTGTTGCCCTTGCCATTCTGATAGACATCCAAGATGTAAAAAAGGTCCCTTCCATAAGGGAGACCATTAAAGTGATAACATTATTTTAATACAGAGTAATTCTGCATTAAGCCTTAATGTTAATGCCTGACATCCAGACTCAAATAAACCAAGTTCAGTAACTGGAAAGGACATGTTAGTTTTTATTTCCCCTTTATTATTTGCAAAACTGCGTGTATCTGTGTTCTGCTGCTGAAGACTAATGCTTCCTTATGTCATAAGAAATACACGCTTTTTTTTAAGGGTTACTTTGCTCAGTAAGATTTAGATCTCTTCTACATACAAAGTTTTTCCACATCCTTTTGTTACAGCATTTAGCTTTCAGATAGAAGTTGATAAAAGCAGAGATGGCATTACAAAAATACGGAAGCTCATAAATGACTGAAAATTATTGAGTGGGGAGCAGGGAATACAGTATGTTCAAATATTTAAAAAAAAAAAAAAACATTTGAATCTATTTTGGGTATAATTAAAAAAAGCCAATTGAGACATTTTGGGTAAGATGCACGTTGTATTTGTGAGTGGATAAAACAAAGAACATTAACCACATCAGAAAACTTAAAAGTCAAATGGAATCAAAATGGTATAGATATACTCCAGAAACTCCGTTTACGAGACCACAGACCATCTGTATGGTTACTTCTACCTACATCAGACAAGAAAGTCAGTGTTAAGAAAAATGGATTTCAAAAATACAGTTTTAGCTGACTTAGGGATCTGAGCAAAGCTTAAAATTACTAGATATTACAGATATTAAAAGGAACTACATTACCACAAGGAAATTGTGAGAGAAGAGCAAGATGAATAGAAAATATTTCCAGGGATCTTGAATCAAAAATTGTCACAATAAATAGCAATGCTCCCTATATCTTGATATGCAGTAACAGTAGAGAAGATGCTAATTTCTGATGCATAAGCTATGTTTTTTTACCCCTTTTTTCACTCTATTTTGTACGCAAGTAATTACATAATGTGAATTCTCTCGTGCTCTTTCTTAAGTGTGTGGATTAGGAAAGGAGCATGAGACTTAGGACACCTCCAGTTCCCTAACCAGGTGCAGGTTTGCTTGTTGTCATGCTGAGCACATTCTCATTCTCTCATTTTGCCCATCTGCAAAATTAAGATAACACTTGTGTGCCTAATTTAAAGGAGGTAGTGATGTGAGGCTTAAATAGAGTTTATTCTCATTGATCAAATACCTTAAAGCAATTAAGAAAACTGTTAATATATCACTACCTAAGCAATATTTTAGAATTTATTTTTGTACTTCTCAAAGCATTACTTGCTTTGAATGCTGTTCTCTAAAATAAACCGTATACAGCTCCTGAAGCTCCTTCAGATGACTACTTGCACTCTATTCCTGTCTGCATAGCAGATGCATTATTTTTAAGTTGAAATTAAAATATTGAGTTGAATATTGAGCTTTGAGTTGAAATTAGAAACTCATTTTTTAGGCTATGTGATACATGTAGTGCAATATACCATACACCATATACTCTCTATGTACACACATCTAATATTTATATAGTTATGAATGGCTTTATCAAGCAGGTCTTTCAAAATACATAGGATGGGGGCAAAGAGGAAAAAATCTGACAAAGCAAGAGAAAGCACTCTACAGTGGCAGGTTGGGAATGGAAGGGATGACAGATTTGAGAAAGTGTAACTGATACAGGTACATTTCACAAGATAAAATTACAACTTTCACAGCAAATTTGGCTCATAAATCAGGGCAAATTTTTTTGTCCCTAATTGGTTTTCACTATTTTTTACAATTATTTCTTCTAGCAGCGCTTTATGTAATTCTTCAGTAAGCAGGTCCATAAAGTTCAATCTCTAGATTCTTTCTCCAGTATCCAGACATATCCCTATATCTCTCCATTAAACCATTTCCTTTCATCAGAACCTGTTAAAAATCACGTTGCCCTTTCCCAGGGATTTTAAACCTGATGTCTTAAAACTGCCTGGATGGCTTAGGATTTTGTTGGTTCACAAATCTTAAAATCTGTGTGCGTGCAAACTGCTTCTTTGGCAACAAACTGATTTATAGAATAATATTAATGGGTGTTATAATTCTTACAGCTAAAGTCATAAAGGAAGTCTTCAACTGCAACTCAGTAAAACTGAAATTATGAATTGAAAGATACAGAAATGCTCTTTTTAAATGTCTTGCTTTATTAATTTTTTTATACTGCCTATTAAATTTTAAGAGTATCTTCATTTGCAGATTATGAGTAAGGCTATGTCAGCATTCTACTTAGTATCAGTTTTTAAGGGGATTATTAGCCTAGCCACTAAAATCATATGCAGCCTTCAACCCTATGTCAGATTATCTGTTTCAGCGCTCACTGAAGATATGTGCAGCAGCAATAGAGGACTGTAGAGTGAAGCTCTACCTCTTTCTCTAATATGATGGAAAAATATTGCACTTGTATGCTAGACTTTTTATATCACGATGACAGTCACGTATCCTTTGTATGCTTATTGAAAGCTTTTTGACCCTCTTCTGGATACTAGTCAATGGAATGAAATACAAAGCATAATATCTCTGCAATAACAGTGGTATGCAGTTTATGGCTTTCAGATCTCAGGAAAACTGAAAAAGATTAAAGAAATATTGAATTTTTTAAAATGAAAGAAACCAAATGTTTTCCACAGCCCATAGAACAAATAAGTTCAGATAACAATCACAACTTTGCCAGTCTCATGCTGAATCCTTGTCTTGCTTATGAATTAATATCCTGTATAGAAAAGAGTATTTTTAGATAAGTAGTACGACTAGTTACTCCTCAGAAACAGTGAAATGTTTTCTAATCACAGAAGCATAGAACTACTTATTTGAAGCAGAACAAAACCAACAATACACACACAAAAAATACACCCACACCTACCATCACAGAAGGTCACTACTAGAAATGTTTTATTGCTATTTTTGCTTTCAAAGAAATGTTACTCCATAAAAAAAAAAAAAGCATGGAAAGTGACAGAGCTAATTGTTTATTTAGCTTAAGACTCAAGAAAATCAAGATGTCAAAGCAGCTTTTTCCTTACCAAGATGAACTCCTGAAATATACACTTACCTTAAGAATTCCATACTTACTACAAGAACAACCATCAGCATTAACAGTTAAAGTCAGATAACCCAACACTCTTAGAATAAATATGTAATTTGTAACATTAGTAGTTTTTAAACCATTTACCTGAGTAAAAATTAAACACCTCACACATTCAGCTTCTATTTTTTTTTCCAGTCCAGAGATAATCATTTTGTCATCTGGCTTTAAATCTTTTATAAAACTTTATAATCATTTAAAAACTTACTGAGACACCAATGAATAGGAAAGCTGGCACACAGACATTGCAATCTCAACAAGCACTACAGGTACTCCCTAAAGTTTTCTACTTAATTTATGTTGCCCCTCTTCCTTCAGTCTCTGGAGATGGGAGCTACAAGTTTATTCCATATTCAAAGATACATACCAGGGCACAGGAGGCACTAATTCACGACTAAAACACAAACACTACTGGACAAAATAACTTGTGCTTTTAAGCTTCATAGAATCACACTGGATTTTGCTTTCTTCCTCTCATACAGGAGAGAATCATTTAGATTCAAAAGGAAGGTAAAACAGAAAACAGCTGCATTAGTCTAAAGAACCCAACATATTTAGAGATAAAGACTCTAAACTGACATGGGTAGAAGCAGACAAGAGAAGGGAAGAGTTGTACAGTAATCTTGTCTTATGTATCCTATTTTCTTTCTAAAAGTCTTCCAAGTAACAAAGACAAGTTCTGACTGTCTTTCTATTTTTCCACAAAACAAGAGATTTACATGTAAAATGAATAATTACATAGACTGGATCCAACTACTTAATATGGTACTATGCCCTCACCTGTACCATCCTTCAAGTAGTAGGGCTCCACTGCAGGAGCTTACCATAGAGGAACAATTATGCTTCCACTGATTTCTTTCTTTAGGACCCAGTTATCACAGAATCACAGAATCACAGAATTTCTAGGTTGGAAGAGACCTCAACATCATCGAGTCCAACCTCTAACCTAACACTAACAGTCCCCACTAAACCATATCCCTAAGCTCTACATCTAAACGTCTTTTGAAGACTTCCAGGGATGGTGACTCCACCACCTCCCTGGGCAGCCCGTATCAGAGGCGATCAAAGTCCTAACTTCTGCATCTCTAATAATATCACACCCAACCCTCCCTATATATTATACTATGCAATGATTGTCACTGCTAAGATTCCCAAAATCCGGGAAATAAAAAATCTTAAATTTAACAAATGGAACAGCAAGTCATTAAAAAAATAAAAATAAAAGATAGTATACTAAAGATTTAATCCTTCAAGATGTTCAGCTTCTCAAATGAATATTAAGCTAACACATCAGCTTTAGTGCACAAAGAATATACATATAGCATAAACAAATGTATAAATTTCAGTTGTTAGACAGACAGAGATTACTTTTTTCCTCCAACTTAAGTGGTACTATTATTAAATCAAACTATTTTATTTGACAGACTCAAGAAGATTTACTGGAACTTTAGTACTGCCAATTGTCTATAAAACAAAATATTCTCACCTGCAACTCCTCTAGTCTGAAATGAGCTTTTACTCAAAATTCACATTAGACAAGGCTTTTCTTAGGTATTAACAAAAGGTCAGAAAAGCTGTCTTTCAGACCAGCTTGAAGGTAAAATATTTCATTACTGTAAAATATTCCATTCTGACCCAACGACTGCTTTTCCAGATTACTTTTTAGTGGTATCCTTGAAAACACATTCTAATGATCAGCTCAAAAGTCCTAGAGCATAACACAATTCTGTGTTTCATTGGAGCTCAGTGCCTTCTAACAGCTTACCTGCAACCCTCAGCAAATTCGCAAGTCCCAGGAGCTTAGCAGACTGCTTATAGTTTGTTGACAACTGAGAAAGACAGTCCTTGATGAGACTGAGTCTATCTGAACACAAACGCACTGTTGGAAGAAGAACCAGTGTTAAAGACTATATAAATGAATCTTACTGCCATATTTCTTGCTCAACAGTGTAGGTGAAGAAAGAGAGCTTGGAAATATATCTATAAAGATATATTCCAAGAGAGCTTGGAAATATATCTATAAACATAAAGTTAAATAACACTACAACATATCCAGACAGTCACAGACATCTTACCGCGTATCACCTGAATTTATGTATTTATTTTAGTAATTTTAAGGTATGTGTCTGTAAGCTGTTTGAAAGGACCCCTTATTTTACTCATATAACACTCACAAAATAGCAAATTATTTGCCATGCACATTTATGCATGCAATTCAAGCAATCGCAAAGAATAAAAATACGCAGTACCTTGCAATGGTAAAATTTTCACGCCAAATTCTTCAAGGTAGCCAAGAGCACGAATGAGATCTAGCTCCTCCTGAATATCACTTGGACAGTCTACAATAAGTTGCAGACAGGATCTAAGTAGGAAGGAAGCAAATTTTTGTAAAAGCGGTTGAATAAATTCAAAGTCTAAATTTCTGGAAAGAGATAACTTCTGCATTCTTGAGTAAAAAAGAGTAACTTGTTGTGCTTATGAAATGTCAAAATACTTGCTGGTCCTGCGCATTATAAATATTTGGCACTATGTTATGGCCAATTAAACATTTTAAACAAATTCTACTCTTGGATAGACATACTCTTTTTCACATATTTGTAATAAGATCAATGCCTAAATCCTCTTGAATTTAGTTGTAACAGATTTAACAAATGAAAGACATTTGAGACATGTATTTACATACATAATTACTTAGGGAAATATTTCATAATAATTACTGGGTTTCAGCTTTGTCATATCCTAGAAGACAAACATAAAACGTTGATTGGAAGCCAAACTTAAGGTCCTTGTCACAAATTCAGCTTCCTCAGCTAGATTCAGAAAATGAAAACAAAGTTGATAAAAATATATAAATATATAACATTATTCTGAAGATGAATTTCCGTATGCAATTACTATTGCTTTGTAACTTTACATAAAACTTTAAATAAAATATGCATGTATTTTATAAATATTATATGGACATGATCATCTTTTATTTAAAACTTTCACTGGAATACTATGTTCATATGTAGTTTTTAGTAATACATGTTTAAGAAAAAATGGTTTGCAACAGAAATGTATAAATAGAGCTAACATTATATAATTGATTCTGTGAAAGTGAATGCCTTCCAACTTTGACCTAAGGCAATAATGCCTTTACTAATATGTATGTATGTGCTCACATGTGTCCATTTGGGATGGAAGAGGGCACAGCTGTGAATGAATAGGAAAAAATCCATTTTCTGTCACTTTCTGATTAAGTTATATAGAACATAACCCTCTAACTGAAGGTAAACTGCAAAAACATTCTTTTAAATCTTAATGGAAAATACATGATTTGTCAATCTATAAAGCAATTTTCTACTGAGGAAAACTTCCTAATGTGAAAAAGGATAACTAGTTACAAACCATTTGACTGCCTTACTTGGTTAAAGGCTGGTTTGCTGAAGATCTCCCCAAAATGTGCTAACACACATACATACATATCATCGAAGGTCAAGAAGATGAATTTTTATCTTGAGGGGAAGAAAAATACTTAAATATCTCTTGCAATTACTAGTTAAATGTACTCATGTCAAAGGGAAAGTGTTATTTAAAAGACACGTCTACCTTCGTAAATAAAATATAAATATTTTTGTTTGGTTATGTGCTTGTATGTTTTACATAAGTGCCTCAAGGAAAAAGAGAAACTCATTTGGATTAACGTGAAAAAAACAAGATCAATGAAAAAATAAATTACTAGAATAAAAGAGAAAGGCTATCAATATTAAGACATACCCTTATTTAAAATATTTAGGTTAAGCCAAGGCATCAGCCTTTGACACAGGCAATATTTGACCACTTTACCTATTTACATTTATGTTGCTAAATACTTCCATATCAATTAACACAAGAATAACACATATCAATTAACATCCATACTGCAACCTCTACACGTAACACTGTAAGTACTGCAGTCTCCTTCATAGAAAGCTCTGTGTCTGAATTCCTTTTTGAAGAACTGTTTGGCTTATTTCTTGATTACAGAATCATAGAATCATTCAGGTTGGAAAAGACCAGCAACCAAAGGATAGCAACAGTGCACACACACGCAAAGCATGGTGTGTGTGTGTGTGTGGGGGGGGAAATCTTACAGAAACCAAAGATATTGTTTCCATTATCACATAATTTTAAAGACAGAGAAATAGATTCACAACACATTTCAGAGAAAAGAAATGTCAAGTTTCAACTGAAAGAGAAGTACGTATTTACATATATGATAATTGTAAACATACCTGGCCAAATCCATACAGCTATCAGTCAGACTGGTTGAAGAATTGAAATATTCTCTGCCAGCAGCCAGAACTAGTTCAATACTTCTCATATAGCTGACTTTGTACTGTGGTTTCCCTTTTGATGAAACTGGTTGATCCACTGACCAAGTACTGCAATGCATCATTTGCCCAGCCAGATGGATATTGTCTATACTGCTTGAGCATAGAAGACTTTCTGTGAATATCTAAAAGGAAGAATGGTAATTTAATAATCTGTAGCAACAGCTTAAAGTAAGCATATTTTCATTGTATGGAACCAACCCTTTTGAATAAAAGCATCTTTGAAGTCCAAAGAATACATTCAGTCCAAACAGAAAAAAAAATTGTGGGAACATTCTCCTTGGTAGAAGTTATGTGTTTATTAAGTAAAACTAAAAATAACTATTATTTAGTTAGTTCTACTTCCTGCAGGAAAAAAGAAAAGAAAAAGAAAAAAAGCTTATTAACTGCCTATTTACAGTATGAGTTCAGAAAATAGGAGATCAGAAATTTACACCTATTTTCTGAGGTGTTAATGGGATGCAGGTAGCAGAAAAGGCAGTTCAGTATTAGGACACTGAAAACATAAAAGAACAAACCCTATACTCCAAAAGAAACTCAAAGTATTTAGAACTAAGTATATAACTTGTCTTTAATTTTGAATCAAGACTATCTTCAAATAACATACATATTAATACACTTCTATATCTAACACGAAACATTTAATTTCAGGTCAAAGTTTTGCCCACTGTAAGAGGCTTAATCTCAGTTCCTTAACAATTTTTCAGTATAGCTCAGTATAGGTCTAATGAATAGCAACATATGTACTTAGTCATTTCAGAAACTACTGCAGCTGCAACAATATGGCCTTTGCCAAAGGCTTTTAATTTCATAACAAATTAAAGTATTTCTTCACTATGATGAACCTCTCCAAACCATCTCATGCTCTACATTTGAGCACCAAAGGAACATAGTTCAGTGCTTCATAAATATTATACTATTTGGATCAGCTTCCATTTAATCCTCAAGGAACAGTGAAAAATGAAAAGTAATTCTTAAAATTTCAAATCTTGGAAAATAAAATTGCCAGAGATAGAAAAGGCTTATTTATTCTTGTGTTTCCCAAACACTTTTTGGGAACACTGGTGATTCCCAAACACTTTTTAGAAGTTATTTCCCTAGCAATTCAACATGCAGATGAATGATCTAAATACAAGTCATCAAGAGTTGATCCTCCTTCTTCCTTAACATTCACATACATACAACAATTTACTTCAAGACTTTTAGATATTAAATATTTCTTTAAGAGGACAGGACTCATTCTGAGTACAATTAAAATATAATAATCATCTGGTCCAGAGGTTAAAAAAAAATATTAAAAAATTACATTAAGATGTAATGCAAAGGAAAAGCTAATATTTTCACTTTCAGTGTGCTGTAATACTCAATTTTTTAAATGCACTTTAAAGTTCTATGTACACTAAGCCTTAGCTTATCACAAAACCAGGAACGTCAAATACATCGTAGATCTTTGTGCAACTTCAAAGTTCAAGCTGCAGAGAAAGTCAAATTTTATGTATAGGTTAAACCCCGTTTGCTTTTTTCCTTCATTATTTCTTTCTAATTTGCTTCAAAAACTCTTCCCAAGGGCTACTCAGATTGGCAGCCATAAGCAATTAAATCTGAAAACTGTAATAAAAAAAACTTGTATTAAACTTAAAAGATGTCAAGTTTTAAATAGATTTTAGTGGGTATGGCACTGTTTCTATAATAAATCAGTACAGTGAAGTGAAAATGGAAATAAACAGTACATTCCATGGAAAATTCTACATCAGTCTAATAGCTCTCCTTCTTTGCAAATAACAATGACATAGTTTTGGACTTTATGTACATGGCAGGTTTGTGGGTTTGTGGGTTTTGTTTGTTTGTTTGTTTGGTTTTTGCTTGTTTGTTTTCCCCTTAAAGAAATTAGATTTCCCTTCTCATGTTATTTTACTTCAATTGCATAAAGTAAAAAGCCCAAAATTATGCGTCTTGGGTGATACTAACAAACTACATGTTTAAGAAATGATTACTTGAAAATAACATTTAGCTAAAGACTGCTTACTTTCCATTAAAGTATTTGTAAACATATCTGTAAATGACATTATGAAGGTTCAAGAAGTTGACACCATTTAGAAAACATAAATAATTCTAGTAAAAGATATTTTACAGGATATTTATTAGAGGGGCTTTTGATTAAATGTATTAACACAGGAATTTTGTTTGCATTGACTAAAAATTCCATTAAAAAAATCAGTAGACAACCAAGTAATAACACATGAAAGTGTATTTACATTTGTAAGCAACAATGTGAAATGAGAATTTGTAGCTTACTTGGGGCATAAATCAATGAGAAAATATAAAACTCACCTCATAGCAAGTATCTGATTGTAAGCATGTGTATACTTTCTGCTGCATGTCTAACATATCCTGGAGCAACTCTTTCCATTGTGTCTCATTGACTGATGGTTGCCTACAAACATTTTCAAAATTAAATATTCTATTTCTCAATAAGTGTAAAGAAAAGCAGTAGATAATACTACAATTTCATCATAAAAATATGCTTTCTCAAAAGACATTTCAATCTTTAATTGGACTTTTTACTAAAAATGATTTATAAAGACTGAAGACTTAATATTAACTACAAATTTAAATCATGTATGTGGGTTAAAATTGTTTGACAAAATCCAGTAACCAAACTGTTTTTGCTTTTTGTTTTCTGTGGAATAAGATAGGTATCTTTAGAAATCCTTATCAAAATCCCCCAGTTAGTTTTGGTAACTTCCAACAGATATCAGAAAGCTGGAAGTGCTATCTTCCTGCTAACTCAGCAGAAACAGGGTAAAAACAAGTTTGAAACAGCAACTGAGGATCACTGAAGTGTTGTTTACTGTAGGCCAACTCAAAGGACTGATCGACTTTGTGCGATTGTAGAACAGCAGTGCAGTTGTTTTTGCTAAAATCCAAACTGTATTCAGTTTCTTGACCCTCTGGAATCATGCGTCTTTGTTAAACACGGTATTTCCTGTAAAATTTCCTGTGTACCATCAAAACATTTTCTAATAAAAACACTATGAAGGTTTTTGGACATCACCTTAAGATTGACAAATCACTGTTTTAAGCTATACAAATTATTTCAGCTAGTAGCGATTTTCTCAAGTGATATTAGCTTTCACTTTTACAAAGCAAAGTGTCTCTACGAGGAAGTAGAAATATCAACATTTTTCCTACAAAGGCACTGACTTGATCTTTCTAAAAAAAGATTCCTAAAAGTCTTAAAAAGCTTTCAGCATGCTCAAGTTAAGTATTACCCTATCACCACCAATAAAACATTGTGCATGTTCAAGCAGGAAAAAAAAAAAAGAAAAAAAAACAGTGATGGCTGCTTTAACCAGGATTCATTCTTTTTATCTGTTTATGCCAAGAGCTGTGTAATAATTTATGCACACTTAGAAGACCAGTTAAATAGGGTAGTTCTTATACAGAAAAATGTAAAAATTATACTGAAAATAAGGGGCATAATCAATACATAAAAGCAATAAATAACCCTGTTACAACAGCTCCTGAGAAAGCAAAACAAAAAAAAATTACAAATCCTACACTTCCCATAAAATTAAATAGATCTTTAAGAACATCATTTACAACACGTTAACTTCACTGTACATCATTTTGCTGTGTTTTGCAGCAGCCAGCAAGCCTTTTAGGCTTGTTAACTTGAACACAAACACACTGAAACAAGTCTGAAGCAAGACATTTTCGTATGTGGAGAGTGCAGCAAAAACACTAATTATGTTAATCATCAGTTTAACAAATGTGTTTTATGTACTCTGTGTTCAATTTAAACAGCACAGTTCCCTATCATAAAAAATACAGTTAGGTACACTCTCTGAAATTAAGTACTGTTCCCCTTACTGTCATATCCCCCTTTATCTCCAGTTCCCCTTTGAATACTAACTTGCGACCTGTGTGCCTTGTCAGCCTAATCATCAGTTTCCGTGCCTCCTCGGCATTGTCTTTTGTGTCTTTCACAAAGGAAACAGGTTTCTGAAGTCCATGCTTCTCCAACAGCTCTGACACACTGCAAATAAATGGTAAATATTTTTAATTTCTACACAGTTGTACAACTACCTCTGCTGCTGCTTTCCTAAAGCTGTTATCAAACAATGCATTGCAAATGCAAACAAACAGTGTAAAGTCTGTAACAATATGGATTAGCCACAGTAAAACTATTTACTTTAAAAAACTGCAGGGCTAATGCACAACACAATAATGTGATAAACTATCTTCACAGTTTTCAGTTTTTCACCAAAGTATTACAATACGTCACAATATATTTTAGAAATAACCTTCCTACTCCTCTGGAAAAATACTTTTATTCCCAGCAAAGTGTTTGTGTATTTTTCTAATATTCAAAAAGCAAAAACCACTCAAAAGTTTTAAGTTCTGAATATAAAAACCTTACAGATAATCATGTTGACATCTCTAAAACCAACATAAAAAAAATAAAAAAGCAGCAAGAATATTTGTCATAATAAGGTTTTTGGCTATACCCAGCGACATATTTAAGAATACATTATGTTGGCTAAATCAAATACCTCAGAATTTGTTCCAGTTCATCTACTGCATCATGAAGAGAGTTAGTTATATCTGTTTCAGGCCTGCAAAAATACATAAGAAAAAAAATAATATCTTTGTATCTATATAATAAGAATATATCAAGATAAGCCGTACAAAGTTGGAAACATTTCTTGATAAGAATCAAATACACGTCTTTGTTTGTAAAGATTAAAACTGCTGACTTCTTGCTGGAAGGATAACTAAAATTGAAAGGGTCCCTCAGTCTCCAAAAAATATAACGTCCCTAGACTTTTCACAGGATCTCTACCTGTCAAAGAAACTGGGAGAATACTTTGTATCTCCTCATACCTTCATTTCCTCAACAATTAACTGTCTTTCATACAGGTCTTCCATATGACAACCTTTCTCACATGCTGATAAGTAGCAATGACTGACTAAGTGCAAGACATCACTAACTGTAACAGGACCAGCAAGATTACTAAGATAACATTATCATTTGGTCTCATTTCACCAAAATATAAAAGCCTAAAGAAGTAATACAGAAAGAGCTTTGGTCTGCACTGCTTTAAAACATATATTGTTACATTATTTAATAGTAGACATAAAGAGCACACACACATATGTATATACATACAGCCAGTATAATTCAGATAGGAACGGAATATTCCAGTAAAATTACATACCCTCTAAGGATGTAGCAATTATTATTAAAGTATTACTACACAACAATATTTAATATCTAAAATATTTACAAATAACTAGCTGAAAATGCTTACCCATATCCTCTTTGTGGAAGGCATTCCAAAATATCATAACAGAGAGCAAGCTGGTCATCTCGTTCACAACTATAAATACATTCCAATGCTGTAATCATAAGCTGGTCTTGCTCAGGTATAATTTTTTGCTGACACTAACAAGAAAAGAAAGCATTCCACTGTATGTATTTTTTTGTTTCTAATTAAGCAGTTGAGTTTCTTCTGAATATAGAGAATATCTAAATAAATAAATCTCCTGGTTGTAATCAGTAAGTCCCGGACAACAACCTAGTGAAGTTCCTTTTGAAGTTACAAGATCTAAAACAACCCAGCTAGTCTCCTACAGTGCAGATACCTGAAATAGCTCTGGTCCTTCATTATTTCATTATACGCTACTTGAATTTAAGAGGTAGAGAGGGTATAGGTCAAAAGAAAGGAACTGCTGCAAACATTTGTCAGATCTGTTTAACATGTACAACAGCAGCAATACATATAAAAAGAGATGTGTTTTTCCTTCACTGGTTGATTTCTGTCCATACACCTAGAATGTTCAAAGGTATGCAAAAACATATGGTATATGCACTAAAATAATTATTTAAATTGTACAAGCAGCATGAAATGGTCACACAATGTAACTTCCACCCTTGCTCACTGAACTGCTGTCTCTGTGGCTCCCACTATATTCTTTGCATTTGTTGGGGAAAGAGAAGAAGGGTTTCAGGGGGAAATCATCTGAAATCTAGTGATAGTAAAATTCATTAGGAAAAAAATCTTAGGGAGAACATAAAACATTATGCCCAATTTTTAAGAAATGCTTATGCCAAAAATTTATTTTAAACCCATCACTAGGAAATTACTGCAAGAGCCTTTACAATAATTTTTAGCTCTAATAGGTCAAAATAGTAATTACATTAGCTTGGCAGTCTCTTCAATGACACTTCTGATTAATGCTTTCTAAAACACAACAAATGTTAAGTCCAAAAAGTAGGGAAAGAGCATAGAGACGATCTATCTGCTGTAGAAAATGTACTAATCCTATTTTTGAGTTGACTTCTTCAGTACAAGAATTTCCCAAGAAACCAGTAAAGTCATCAAGATTCTATACTTACAGCAGGTTTTGAACTCTGAAAAATCTTCAGAGGCAGAGTCAGGTCTTCCTTTGCTAATGTTACTAAATATTCTTTGAAGAGTGAATTTGCCAGACCAGGGGACTGATTTTCACAGCGGTGTAGGAAAGGGATCATCCACTGATAAACATTCTTCACATATTTTTCATCAGAGGACTGTAAAGCACCATGAGTTACAGAGATGGGAAAAAAGAACAAAGTCAGTTTTGTTTCCCAAAACAAATGAACAACAACAACAAAAAGAAACACAGAACATTTTGGTCAACAAAACTGAAACAGTATCTCCACCTATCACAAAATACAGCTGAAGCTTAACCTTTGCCACTGCTGCACAGAGCACTAAGACATGAAATACTGAAACAATTCATCATCTTACTGATACCAATGGTGTGGGAAGACCAAGCTGTACATGAGTAAAGCCCATTAGCTGACAAATGCCAAGCTCTCCTCCTTTTCCTACAGTTTCAGGATGAACGGAAGATTGGCTTGCATCCCCATCAGACTAGTATTACTTCCAATATTTAAGGATAGCTGCATGAGCTCCTCTAGAGCACACACATTCTTTTAACTATTTCAGACCCCTGTTCTATCTGTAGGTATTTTCCAATCTTTCCACAAAAGACGAGATTTCACCTGTTCTGAAATGCCATGCACAGGCTGAATATAAAGATGAAAAACACATATGCTGCAGAGACAAATATTAAGATTTTTTCACCAACATTTACAGACATCAAAAAACATCCAAGGAAAATATCCAATGTGTATCTGCAGCATCACTGACAGCTACACTGAAGATCCTATAGAAAGGGACAATGAAAAAGCAATTCACAGCTTTAACAAGCTTTGACTTTTATTAGATTTATTAATGTTTGATCCCGTGTCTAGGATGGAAGAACAGGTCTTTAACAAAACTAAACCATTAAAACTTTTTTTTTAAAACAAAACAAAACAAAACAAACAAAGGCCCCCACTAAGTGTTAGATTTCCATTAAATTCAAGGCGGAGGCTCATTAGAAAAACGTCAGCCCCTAGCACTATCTTTAAGCACATGGGATTCTAGGGTAACCTGAACTACTGGAAATCAAGGCATACTTAGCGATCTGTTCAAAATACTTACGTTTTTCATCAACAGTCTCAGCTTCTCAATGTCCTTCATCTCTACTAGTTCCTTTAAAGTTAATGTTCGATCACCATCAGTTTCATAAACTACTGTCTCAAGAGTGATCAGGTTGTCACAAAGCACCTGCAGACCAGGGATATTCCTCTCCATGCCAAGACGAACAAGGGACAGAGCACAGTCCACCTGAAAAATAATTAAAAAAAAAAAAAAAAAAAAAAACCTCCGCTGTGCAACTGTTTGCCAAAAAACAACTTCAAAAGTCCAGTCTGTGTCCTGTTTGTGTAACTATCTTCTTTCCTTGTTCCCCTTGCTCAAGAGGGGATTCTAAATTCCTAGAAGTTTTTGTTGCCTGTTTCAATATGGATTGCTATTCTCAGCTTTATAAAGACCAAATAAAATGCTTATCCTTGGTGGATGATGCCATTACAGGCCTTTTGGCCATGGTGTGCCCTACAGATGCACATAAACTAGAAAAATACCTTTTTTGATTCTTTCTGTAGGTCATACAGAAATAAGGCATCTCATCTTTCTCCATGCACTATAAACGATTGCTTGAAACTAAATTTATCAGTTAACTGACTGAAGTTATGTGTATATCTGTGTGTAATGTGACTTTTCTAGCTGTCCATGAATTACTGATTTTAATTGGTGCATTTCATTCCACAGAATATAATCAGTGACTGAAGACATCTTTACGTGAAAGATTCTGCTTTGATTTCTAAGAATGCAATATTGACTGTATGTATTCAGTGAGGCAGACAAAAGCCTGGAACAGTAGAGCACAATCTCATTTATGTTATTAATTTAATTGATCCTTGGAAGTTGCTTTTATTTCCATAGCTGCTGATAGGCTGTTAATCACAGGGAATTAAGATTAAAGATGCCTGAAAAACTGCAAACTTGAAAAACAAAAGAACTAGACCAGAACTAACCTATATTGATACTTCCATCCAACCTTTTTTTTTTTTTTTCATGCAGCTATATGGGCTTGAAAAGCAATAAACCAACAGAGCACATGAGCTCTATTTGCACTGCTTATCTTTACCACACAGGACTTCACACATTTTTAAAACATAAAGAAAATAATAATGTAGAAATAAGCTGCCTGATAGTTTCACAACCATACAATAAACCTGCCAAGAAGCAATTGTGACAGTACTACACAGAATCATAGAATGGTTTGGGTTAGAAGGGACCTTAAACATCCCCTAGTTCCAAACACCCCAGCATAGCAGGGTCACTTCCCACCAGACCAGGTTGCTCAAAGCCTCGTCCAACCTGGCCACGAACACTTCCAGGGATGGGACATCCACAGCTTCTCTAAGCAACCCGTTCCACTGCCTCAAGACCCTCACAGTGAAGAATTTCTTCCTAACATCTAACCTAAATCTACACTTTTTTCAGTTTAAAATGATTATCCGTTGTCCTATTACTATACCCCTGACAGAGTCCCTCCCCAGCTTTCCTGTAGCCCCCTTTAAGTACTGGAATGCCACTGTAAGGTCTCCCTGCAGCCTTCTCTTCTCCAGACTGAACAACCCCAATTCCCTCAGCCTGTCTTCATAGGAGAGATGCTCCAGACCCTTGATCTTCCTTGTGGCCCTACTCTGGACTCGTTCTAGTATAGCCATGTCCTTCTTGTGCTGAGGGCCCCAGAGCCAAACAGTCTAGGTAGTCTCACAAGAGCAGAGTAGAAGGGGAAAATCATGCCCCTCGACCTGCTAGCCATGCTGCTTTTGGTGCAGCTGAGAATGCAGTTGTCTTTCTAGGCTGGAACCACACACTGCTGGCTCATGTCGATCTTCTTGTCAACCAATACCCCCAAGTTCTTCTCAGGGCTGCTCTCAGTAATTAGCATTTGACAGTGACATTTCTGAATACCTTATATCGGTATACGACCTAATGCTATGTGACACCATAAACCATGTTTCCTGATACACACTCACAACGTTCCCTCCCTTTACTTAATTACAAATACAAGACACAATGGTAAGCAGATTTCTTCCACTAAAAGTGTTGTCTGCTATGGTAAGTCAAGTGAAAGAGAATCTACAGGCTTCCTGTTCATTCCTATGGATTAATTATTTACCTGACTGAATTTCAGAGCAAGCACGAGTATGCTAAAGTACTTGGGAAAAAGCATCCCATTAATACCCATTAAGATAGGCTTCTACTGAAGAATACTGATCAGCCTGAAACAGCCATCATTGTTTCCTCGCTGCTATTCTCACCTGCATGGAATATTTTTCTATTTCCTGTGCTCTGCTCAAATACCAATCAGTCACAAGCTCTACTGAAAGTTCAGTAGTCCTGTACTTCAGTAATTCTGGCTGTGTTTCATAGAGAAATTCGCCTTCATCTTGTAAAGTTGGTTCAACAATCATCCTTAAAAAAAAAAAAAAAAAAAAGTATGTTTAAATATAAGCATATATTTACTTATATTTTTTCACATTAGTCTTCTTCATAAAACTTTAGGTCATTCTGAAGAAGAACAGTACAAATCAACCTATCATTGCACCAATAACTTGAGGGGACTCAAAATGCCAATCCCAGTATTTACTATTATCAGCAAAGTAACTAACTGGAGATACCAAACGTAAGATGGATCACAAAAGATAGATTCCTCTCTACTAAAGACACAAGTATGCTTAATTCATGCTTTCCATCTGTTATTCCCACAAAAAGGCAGTTACATGATCCATTAATGCAGCTACGATAATGTTATGATTTACAACTTCCAGTAAGATATTCTTCACAAAATCACAGTGAACGTAACAGCATAACATGAAAGACTGCTTGGTCTTCCAGTCTCATTAAGAAAGCTCAAAACATAAACTAGTGTGCACAAAAGTGAGAAATTAGACTTTCTATTTACTGCATTTTAATTTACCTGCATTCTGCTTTCTCACACCAGTCTTCTTCACGATGTTTCTGTTCATTCCAAGGAACAATTTTCAATGTTCCCTGCTTGTAACTGGTATAACAGAAAACGGAATGCAAATTTATTAAAAAAAGTGAAAAAAGTGATGACATTCAATTAACGGAATACAAAGCACATGCAAGTATTTCAGTGAATTCATGATAAGGATGTCATTTGATTACAATGCCAGTTCCTTAAATTTATCACTTCTTAATGTAGTTATACAAGTACAATTCCACCTGTAGGATATTATCTGTACAAACACATATACTACCTATACCACTTAAGTAAACTAAAAAATTCAGTATCATCTTTTTACTTTGTCTTTGATAGAAGTCACTACAAAAGAATCTTTACTGCTTCATGGTTAGTATCCTGACTTCATACGCTACCACGGAAGACTGAATGTGTGAAAACCTACAATCTTCACAGTTTAAAAAAAAGTAATTTTTCAAATATTCACACAAATCATTTTATTCAACTAAAGCAAGATATGCCCTGCTGTACTGATCTTCTCAATTACGTTTAACATGGTTTTCTGACTACTAACACCCACAGTGAAACATTTTCTACATATTGAGGTTGAATAAAAAAGTCCATTTGAGATAGAGATTAAGAACAACACAAGTTATTACTAGAACGATTAGTTACAGCTTGCTATTGTAGGCCAGTTGTTTAAGCAGCATGCAACCTGAGAAAACCATACTGAGACATGCGGAACATAAACTAAGGAGAAAGAGAAGAGCCTCATTTTCTCCCGACCCTGATAATAAAACGCAATAGTAATACTGCATGGACAATCCCTATTTACAAGTTAACTGATACTCCATTGAGAGCAGCAGCGTTGTAACATAGTAGCTTAAAAAGAAACACTTTTCCAATACACAAATCAATTTCACAACATAAGAATCAAAACAAACTGTAAATCAGTAACTCTATCTCAGTCAGTAAGTCATTAAACGCATATAAGGATATTTAACAAAGCATCTAACAACCCCTCCTTGTATACACGAGCATTTTTCCAAGGTCACCCATCCTTCCTTTCTCTACTTTATGCACAATAATATTCCGTGTTTTATCCATTGTGATTCCAACCTTCCACATGATACGTGCAGTAGGAACAGAGCAAATAATTGGCCTGCAGGCTGCTAAAGTGAAAAGAGAGGAAGTAAAAAGATAGAAAACAACTAATTCTTATGTCTCAGGTATAGTAACACCTCCATTTCAACTCTAGTTCAGCCACGTGAAGTTGAACAAAGGCCTCCACAATTACATTTTAATCAGAAAGAAGCATTACATTAGGAGATGCACAGATTTCAGGTGTTTTTTGTTGTTTTTTTTAATCTCTTCAATAACAAATATTGCATTATTTAAATATTAATATATAAAACTGGGTTCATAAACTAAATGAATAAGGCACACATGAGAACATTATTAGCTTAGTGGTATGGTTTAATGGAGGACTTGTTAGTGTTAGGTCAGAAGTTGGACTAGGTAGGTGATCTTGGAGGTCCAACCTAGGTGATTCTATGATTCTGTTATTATGGAAAGCTCAGTTCATAGAGAACAAGCTGAAACATCAAAGCAAATAAAAGCCAGTGTAATAACATTCCCTTCTAAAATAGAAAATCAAGAGCAGCTCTTTATATTGTAATCAAAAATGTTCTTCTATATGTCCTATTAAACAAAAAAGGAAATGGGACAAAATTTTACTATCCAAGACTACTACTTTTCATAGGCTCTCTAGTAACATTTTTCTGTCCACTTCCCATTAGGTTTGAGAAGATATTTGAAGTTGGATTGTGTTGTCTGTCCTAATATTAACACAGCTTACTAAGGCAGGGGGGGAAGACAGCAGAAAAGACAAGAGTTGCATTTTAGAAGCCATTGAGAAGCTGTTCTGCAGCTTTCCCTGCAAAATTGTCATCTAAGGTATCCTACTAGCTATCCTTCGGCCATAGACAACTCTAACCCCAAGCATTACAACTACCCTTCCAAAACAACAAGAGGAGATTTTTGGACAGCAGCTCTGATTTCATGTTATAGACAACCTTTTCTCTCAAACTTTGCTACATATAATAATACTGTAACTGCTGTTCTGCCTCCAAGAATTGTAGTGCAAAGACTTCTCAAAATTCTGACTTTTTGGGGGCTAAATATGCTGCTGCTATCCCTCAATATGAGATGTGAAGAAAAAAAAAACCAGCAACTTGCTGAGGAAGATCTCAGTCCATTACTATTCCCAAGCTTTTCCCTTTGACAATTCCTCTGTTTCCCTTCCCCTTACCTCCAAAATCCATCAAGTAAGGAAGCAATGTACAATTTGACCTCCCTACTGAAAAGGATGCAACACAGAAAAAGTGGTAAAGTGCAGAGACAAACAATTTGAATGACCACAGGTAAGAAATGTGTGATCATTCCTTTTGTGAAAGCCTGAGCACATTGAGAAATGCTGGAGGAAAGAAAGCAACCAATGTGCGTTTTTTTTTTTGTTGTTTTGTTTTTTGTTTTTAAACAAAGTTGCTTTCTTTTTCCATGTCACTTAAATAGAAAATGGCATTTCACTGTTTTTACTTCCTACAACATGGTAAGTATCAAAAAGACTAGCAGGGCCTCGTTCAAAATCAAAAGCAGCAGATACTAGCTTATACCATGTACACATAAGCTCTTAACTACCTACTGCCCAACAGAGGATAAAAAAATGAGTCTTTGGTTTCACAATTAGAAAGTTATCAGAATAAAGAATAAATAATAAAGCATCATAAAGTTTATTACACATCTAGAAAATACCAAGTTCAGGAATATTTGAGCCATATATTAAAGTTTCTTGAGAAACTTCAGGTAAATGTAGCAATGTGCTTGTCCATACCACTTTTTTTCCTCCCCTTTCACATTGCCTATTGGCCATTTGTCTTCTACCAAGACCAATCTCATGTTTCGCCAAAGGGTTTTTGCAGGACTGAAACCCACAGTTGCCCACACACATCAATTCAAGAAGTTCTATAAGCTTACTTCAAAAGTTTTTCATAAAAGCTTATTAGGAGACTTCACCACAAAATACTGAAGAGTAGACTTTTTGATTCATATGAAAAAATCATCATGCAGTGCAGTCTTGACTGGAAACTTTCATTCCATCTTTTTCCCCTTCTCACAGTAGAACAAGTTAAATACTTTGAGTCAGGTCTATGGAAAAGCGAACAAAAATTCTTTTGAAACTATTTTCTGCTCTGGCTTGATTTGCCATTTCAAAAGTATTCAGGTTCACCATAGGAATATACTTAGAAAGTAATTTCAGATTTGTAACGTTCTCACCAAGAAGCAAACAGCAATCAGCACCTATGTTCTCTAAACGCTTAAAGGAAACAACATTTAAAAAAAATACGTAACTGTGAAGTATCTTATCCTAGTAGAATTAAGCAATTGTAAAAAGTCAGTCTTAACATACATGTTTCTTCTCAAGCTAAATTAACAAAAAACACACACACATGGAGCTAATTGTTTATTTCATTCACCTCCTCAACAATTCTAAAAAAATTCTCAAATCCCTCCTGTCCCCTATTTGACTGCATTCTGCCTTCCTTGCTTTCTCCCCTCATTCTGAAGAGTTTAGAAAATCTCTTTGCATATTAATTCTAACACAAGGACTGAAATAAAGCAATTTTGCCACTAGCAAAGGATAGATCAAGGTACCTAAGCATTTTACAAAGTCAAAGAAAATATTAAAGAGATGTATTTAACTCAACATTTATCACAAGGCTTTTTCTTTTTCTTAAATAATTGTTATGTTTTAGCATAGATTCCCCTCTTCTCCCCCAAACCCCTTTACCCCGTAGCTCTGTATCAGTAACTACAACATATGCAGAAAAGAGTAACAAAAATCTGGGAAAGTAACTGCGATCAGCTGAGAAACAGTAAGTTTAGAAAGTTTTCAGGCATTAAAATACTGCAGCATTCTGCAAACCCAAAAGCACTGAATGCAAATGAGACTGAGAAGACGAAGAGATAGGAAAGTAAGTATATGCTAAGAGACAGGGTTTCCATTTTTCTACCATTATTTTGTTTACAATACACATGCAGCAAACTCAGCACCACTGGAACACATCAGAACTACCGCATAGAATACATAAGTCTGCCTGGTGTGGAAGGAAATTCAGCATGCACAAGTAGCTTGCTGTATGGGGAACATACAGTCTATGCTACTGCCTCCAGCATTCATTAGGCTCTCCGCTTATGCTATGCAATTTTAGCACTTTGCTCTAGAAACTGAAATTCCACAGAGGTCAAAGACTGTACTTAAAAACAAAACAGGCACCTGAAATTCCAGGTGCTGGAACAGATCTCTATAGTCACTAAGGCAGGCATCCTTTTCCAATTAAAAGAAACTTATCAGGTGCAACATACCTAACTCCACACAAAGATTACCTAGGAGTTTCTTTTTGTATAGCCTTTTTTCTTCTACTTCTCTCAGCAACTGTTTCTCCCATCCTTGCCGCCCCCCCCCCATTTTTTTTTATTTTTCTTTTAACATTAGAATAAATATGATTGGTGCTCAGTAAATTGACAAATTAGGGAGGTATTCAACTCTATTTCTGCAAAAAGAGCTCATTTTTGCTTTGTTGCTCTTTCAACTCTATTGTCTGCATTGGGTTGCCAACTCTTCACATTCTTTGCTCTGATAAAAGAGACCCATGCTATTGTAGCTTCTGTACCTTACCAACTGCATTCATTCAAACCTGCAGATTATTTTTCTCTCTAAGGACAATTCTTTCTATTGCCAATGGTAACTTTGTGTTTGGTTAGTTGGTGTTTTTTGTTTTGTTTTGTTTTGTTTTTCCTTCTTTCTTTCAAGCATTTCATTCAGGGGAACTGTCTGAGATTCTTTCAGCTGAGGATTTGATTTATTCTAGTTTTCCTTTGTAAAACCGTGCAAATTGAATCCAGCCTGGAAAACAAAAGTCAGTTCACCCCAACACACTTATGAAATAGTATCTTTTTGCTGAAAGACATGTACATTTTTAAAATAGTGGGTTTTTTTTTCTTCAAACTATTTGGGT